GGGGTGCAGGCAGAGATGAAGAACAATCTCATAAGTAAAACAAAGATTTAAGAAACCTTAATCCTGGGACCAGAAAAGACAGCCCAATAATCAGACAGTATAAAACATTTCTGATGGAGGGACGAAGTTATTTAACTCCAAAGCAGCTAAGAATTGTGGGATGATGAAAACAGGAGCGATGTCCTTGACACACCATCATCAGGGGAAACTGAGCTGTGTATTATCCAAATGGTCTTCTTCAGTGTAAAAAGTCCAGTAAGATGACCCCTATAACCTTCTACTATTAGAGGGTTACAGTACCCTCCCAGTACAGACATCCTTTCTCTCATGGGGCAAGATGCTCATCATCTGGCTGCACGATGCTGAAAAGACAGGGGTTAATAGTAGGCATTTCCTGCATTTTGAAGGTAGAGTCTCTGGCAACGTAAGCTGAATGAAGACAGACTTGCTACCAATACCCACCGCCCTTCTCACTCTCAGTTACATATTGCTTCTTCCTTTCCCAAAACAGCATTGTGCAAGCATATAAGAAAGCAGTTCAAGAAGCTCAAAAATTCAGTCAGGGCAGGGAGGCAGAGAAAAGAAAAAGAGGAACTTGGAATCACAAGTGTTTAGGGAGGTATCACTGCCCCTTCAACCTCACTGAAGAATTCAGGGTAGACAACTCACAAAGGCATCCAACAGAGAAGCATGAATTTCATAGAATTATAGAACGTTTGGTTTGGAAGGGAACTTCGATCATCTACTTCCAACCTTCCTACCATGGACAGGGATAACTTCCACTAGGCCAGGTGGCAGGTTGCTCAAAGCCCCATCCAACCTGGCCTTGAATACTTCCAGGGATGGGGCATCTACAACCTCTCTGGGCAACCTGCGCCAGTGCCTCAACACCCTCACAGTGAAGAACTTCTTCCTTATATCGAGTCTAAATCTACCTTCTTTCCGTTTACAACCATTACCCCTTGTCCTACTGCAACAGGCCCTGCTAAAAAGTCTGTCCCCATCTTTCTTGTAAGTCCCCTTTAAGTGCTGGAAGGCTGCAATCAGGTCTCCCTGGAGCCTTCTCTTCTCCAGGCTCAATAACCCCAACTCTCTCAGCCTGTCTTCACAGGAGAGGTGTTCCATCCCGCTGATCATTTTTGTGGCCCTTCTCTGGACTTCCTCTAACAGGTCCATGTCCTCCTTTTGTTGGGGGCCCCAGAGCTGGACGCAGTCTCCAGGTGGGGGGTCTCACCAGAGTGGTGTAGAGGGGCAGAATCACCTCTCTAAACCTGATGGCCATGCTTCTTTGGACACAGCCCAGGATATAGTTGGCTTTCTGGGCTGCAAGCACACATTACCAGCTCATGTTGAGCATCAACTAACACCCCAAAGTCCTTCTCCTCAAGGCTGCTCTCAATCCATTCTCTGCCCAGCCTGTATCTGTGCTTGGGATTGCCCTGACCCACGTGCATGACCTTGTACCTGGCCTTGATGAACTTCATGAGGTTTGCATGGGCCCACCTCTCAAGACTGTCAAGGTCCCTCTGGATGGTATTCCCTATCCTCCAGCACGTCAACTGCACCACACAGCTTGGTGTCATTGGCAAACTTGCTGAGGGTGCACTCAATCCCACTGTTCATGTCACCAACAAACATATTAAACAGCACCAGTCCCAGTACCAACCCCTGCGGAACACCTCTCATCACTGGTCTCCACTTGGACATTGAGCCATTGACCACAACTCTTTGAGTGCAGCCATCCAGCCAATTCCTTATCAACCAAGTGGTCCAACCATCAAATCCATATCTCTCCAATGTAGAGAGAAGGATGTCATGTGGGACAAGTGCCAAATGCTTTGCACAAGTCCATCAGTTTCTCTTCCCTTACCCACCAATGCTGTAACCCCATCACAGAAGGCCACCAAATTTGTCAGGCATGATTTGCCCTCTAGTGAAGCCATGTTGGCTGTCACCTGTTACCTCCTCATTTTCTATGTGCCTTAGCATAGTTTCCAGGAAGATCTGCTCCATGATCTTCCCAGGTGCAGAGGTGAGACAGACTGGCCTGTAGTGCCTTAGGTCTTCTCTTTTTCCCTTTTTAAAAAATCTGCCTCTTTCACAGCAGAAATATGTGCCACTTTTGCCTCAAAGTGTTAAGTGTAATATTAATCTCAAGGCCTCTTTTTGGACATTACAACAAGCCAATGCAACCTCTTACTGCTAACTCAAATGTCAGAATCAGACATGCACCATTGTCAGTCATCACTTAACCACAATAGCAAAAAGATCTGGGCAAGGCAAAGAGATCTTCCCCTGTGCTCCGGCTTCTCCCTTCCTCTTATACAAGCATTTTGTGCTGGTGGTCAAAACCCTCAGGCTTTCAGACAGACCATCTGTGTGAGTTTCCCACTCTGCTGGAGGGTAGGAGGGTTCTGCAGAG